AAATAAAAATAGAAACTTTTGTTTTGCGGTTTAAAATCTTTTGTATTGCAAGACTTCTTGCACTTTTTCCTCTACTTTTGCAAGATTTCTGTCTTGTATTGCCTTTTAACACTTCTTTATAAGCGGGACTCTACAATTATTTGATAACGTTAGGGAATTGTACCTACCTATGAGTATACCTAACCATTGTATATAGGTACACCTTATATACAATGATATAACTTAGATAAAAAATATGTTAAATTGCTCAATTTATCCATCATGCTGCACTGAAGGTCTATCTAAAATCTTTTGAAAATTACATTTACAATACCTCAGATGGAAGGTAGTATAGAAAAACTTTTAGGTAATCCACACTGAGAGAAATAATATAATCAAAGTGTCTACCTGAAAATATTTTAATTACAATAAATGTCTTTTTATTTGCCTCAATTAGTTATCAATTTATGACAATAATCTCATATACTGTGCTAAGTAAAATCGATTTTCTAGAAGTGGTGGATAAGGGCAATTAGACATATTTGCTAAACGCTTGTAGATTTTCATAGGTAGAATAACAGCAGATAGCGTTTTCGCTGCAGTTATAAAACTGTTGCATTGAATTTGATATTCTTGCTTAATTACGTTTTTGTAACTGCCACAAACGTTTAGTTTAGTTGGCGTTATGAAATACTAATTTATGGTGAGTAAACATCTACTTGTAGCAATCGTCTTCAGAAGCCGTTTTCGTTCGTTTTTTGACGACCATAAAAGCTGTAGGTATATAGCAATTTCTTAATATACGCATGCAGGTACATTGTGCTGTGCGGGTGTAAGTTTTATTCGGTTTTATTATACCTAATAGTGTACCTGAAAGAGAGCTGAAATTTACGCCATACCTACTCCAAAATGAACGAATTTAAGTCATTACTTATTAAATGGGAACTTGATGTATATTTCGACGATTTCTTAGATAAGTAGAAAGAGTTATATTTTTGCTATACTATTGCTGGCTACCTAAATTATTTTCCAAGTTTTTAAGCTACTGAGACACAGTTGCACCAAAAAAATTAAGCCTTGCTTAAATTTAAGTCGAACTTAAAATCTATGGCAACGATTATTAAGACAATTATTAATTAATAATTACAATGGTATTTAAGTTATGCTTAACTTTAAGGGATACTTAATTTTGACGGTGCAATTGGCCCTCACTGATGAAAATTGTTCAAATTTTATGTCGTGATGTGTTCAAGGTATGGAACGTACGACACGACCGAGTATATTATGCTTTCAGATATTGTTTATGTCAATCAGTGCATCATTGTAAATAATGAATATTACATCACAATTTATTAATTGTACCTATCCTAAGTGGCATTTTCGTTTGATTTTCATTTTTTATTGTTAGATAGGTATAGGATTGTTGTTGTTTTTAAGTGTAATATGTACGTTTTTCTTTTTTTTTCTAATAAATACCATTGTGAATTACGTTATTACTAATTCCAATTGCCCTTAATGAATAGATTTTTAACACAATTAAACAAGATGTACTGTAGTAAGTCAATTAAAAACCATTCTAATTTAACTACGTTTCTACAACACCTCACTTTGCCACCTACAGTTATTTTGCGGTTAAATCTTCCTAATTATATTAATACTTACAATTTAGTGTACTATTTAAGGTTGATTAACGTACACTTATTCTAATTAAACTGTTTATTATTCATAATAAATGCCTTTAATTGTCTCTAAAGAAAGTTTATGTCTGTTGCCAGGTTTTCAAATACCTACGATAATTGATGTAATTACAAATAAAATTAAAATTTGACTGTAATCAAACAGGTACAGAAAACTCTGTTTAATTATCGTGAATAACAAGTTGTATAGTCACATATAGTATTAATGCTAACAGATTTTTCTCTCAGTGCAACATCCTGTATATGTGAAGGATAAATCGAGAATACCTATACTTCTAAGTATTGTAATGAAGTATACGTTGGGTAAACGAAAAGATCATTGAACACGTTTTATAAAAAGCTCATAGCTGACATAGCTCACTTCAAAAATAATCGTTGACACAATCAAGCGTTGCCAGATAAAGCAAGTAAGTAATAAAGATATGACCAAGATTGTTATGAAGGTTTAGAGAGTTTAGACCAATTAGAGCTCTTAAACTTTCGCATTCACCCGCGGTAATTAGTATAAAAACGTCGTATTTGTATTTCATCTTTCAACTGTTCTCTGATGATGACAGCTTTAATGATGAAACGCGTTCGTTCTTTTAATAATATTGGGATTTATTGGTGTTTTTGTTTTACTGTTTGTAACTTAAACTCGAGATTTTCAATCCAATGTTTCAAGATGAAAATTTCTTAACTATCAGTAGTCATTAATAGATCCGCCCCATTCTTCTAATAAACGACCAAGATCAGAGAGATCCTCATTACCGATCCAACAGGAGTTTTTTGCAAAACCCTCCAATGCAGATCAGACAAAAAAAGATAAATCAGCCACAAGGGCACTGGTCCTACCTCGTACAATCGCGAACAAGCAATGAGCAGCTCATCCTAAATGAACAATTCCTAGAGGATTTCCCGAGGGATTTCCCTACAATGAAAGAAATTGATGAAGCCGTAGCAAAACACAAAGTATAGATGCAGCCGTAGTTATGCTCAGAAGTCACCTGGGAACCCAAAGACAAAATCATCGTTTTACCCGCATCATCAACAGAATATAAGAAAACGCTCTGAGCGACAACTCTTCCCAATGATCTACATCCTCAAACCGAAGAGTCAATATCTGAACTAACTCGACGGAAACACACCAATTTTAACTAGGACATTTTGTCACAGTTTCTTTCTTTCTTTCTTTCTTTAATTCCATTTCGATTACATTAAGTAATATTGGATTGCTTGTGCCGAAGATTTACTTTAAAGGTAGGATTACTCCGAGGATTATTCACCGAATTCAGTTTAGTTTTATGCCAAAAAAGAGTTCCTCGAACTACTTATTAGTTAGGCGAAACTGAGATTGCGTCTGTCTACAGAAAAATGATGTGCCAAAATGTGAGGGTACCTACCAAACAGTATACGAAAACCGGAAGAACGCACTCAGAGCTAGTGAAGGAGCAGCAGTATATGTCAAGGATAAACGGATCACAGAAGAAATCCATCTCAATACGTCCCTAGAAGCCGCGCCCCTACAAAAAAATTGTTAAAAACATGGTACAACGACCAAGATTAAGATCAACCTCCTTAACTGGGGCTTGTACACCCTTCGATGTTAAATCAGACGGTCCATCCGCCTCACTTTTGCATTATCTATCATGTTATATTGACCTCACGTGGACATTTCAGCAGTGACTACTACCCGATAGTCATCATCAACTTCACAAAAGCCAAATTACCCCTCAAATTTGATAATAAAGAACCCGGCCTGGGAAAAATATCGAAGTTCCCTTGCTAAACGGGAAAAGAGTCTTCCCTCTGTAATTAGTATAATTCCCAGTTACAACTGTAAAATTAGCATAATTCCCCGTTACAACTGTAAATTAGTATAGTTCCCAGTTACAACTGTAATTTACAAAATAATTTCCTATGTGTCCTATCCAGAGCTTCGTAAGTTATATTACAAGAATAAAATTCATTTGTTCAATTTATATGCCTTTGTTTATTTATTGACTGAACTTTCTCCTTTATTTTAAGCCAAGTTACATGCGTAGTAACTACGAAATCAAGCCAAAATCAAATTCGGTCTCCCAGACCGAGGTCACCACTGGGTGTTCCAAAATTTCACGTCACCACTGCAGGGTTAACCGCCGACGTATGAGAGTGCGCAACCATGGAAGCTTTTGCGCACTAGTCTCTACTAATGGGCTACCCCAGGGATCTGTTATCAGCGTCATTCTGTTCATCTTAACTATCAACCCGGAATCCTCAAGTTCCCTCTACTACGACGACTTTTAATTTACGACCTCTCGATTTCATGCGGTGATGGAGGGGGGGGGGATATCGAGTACACTTTCTATGACCTCCAAACTTGGGCACCCAAATGTAGATTAAAGTTCTCCGCAAAGTCTGAGTTCATGATAATCGGTAACCAAAACCAGGCCCAGAGTAAGAATCTCCATTTGTGACAACCGCTAGTGAAAGACGACTCGATTTAAATCCTTGGACCTACGTTTGATGGGACGCTCACATGGAAAGTACATATCGAAGAACTAAAACAGTAAGAAGTGCCTGGAACGATTGCGTAGTTTGAAAGTTCTTGCCAACAAGCAGTGGGGAAGTAGCACCAAATCGATATTAAGGCTTGATTATGGTTTCTGCGAATAAACCACTCCTGGACACTCTTCAGCCGGCTGCGAATTCCACCTGCCTAAAGTACGCGGTGGCAATTTCTTTAACGCCAGAAATCTGCCCATTCTCGTACTCTCAAGAACTTGGCACTCTCTTCCTGGAAATGCAGAAGAAATGCACCAAGGAAAATGTCAAAGAATTTTCGAGTTCACTTAAAACGTCAAAATTTTATTTCAAAAAGGGAGGTCTAATCCCCTTATACGCAAAAAGGTTGCTAATAAATCGAAAGTTACATTACCGGGAGAAAAGAGGAAAATTTTGTTGCGAGTTTCTAAAGAATGAAATTCTCAAGCAACGTAGAGCTGAAGGGAAAGAGATACGGCGCGGGTATGAAAAAAGTTTCGGGGCCCAAAATCGTAAGGGGGGCAACGTTAAAAAATGGCTAAAAGTCAAAGGTTTCTGAATCTGTAATTGGTCGCAATAAAACTGTTTACTATGCAAAACAGCATTATAAACCTTAATTTGCGGACAACCACTGGGAAAAAGTCGTAGCCGTAGTCGTAGACGTTAATCCTTTGAAAAGGCGCGGTTAGTTTAATGAATTGCCCATAGAACTAGACAAAATAATAATAAGCACCGAAATTATGTATGGGGCAAGGAAAGAACAAAAAATACACACAATTTCTAACTGCTATGACATTCAAAATAGCAGCCTGCAATAAATCAACAAGAACTATAACTTTAATTTTTCTTTACGTAAACTAAAATACAAACAAACATGTAATCGTAAACAATCAGCCGGTCATCAACTAAGCGCAAATCTTAGCACTGGTGTGCTAGAATCGGAAGCAGAGCTAGGAGATTGCGACTGATTTTCCGCGACATTGTGTCCATCGTATTCCACCTTCTCCATGCTACCACCTTCATCTTGATATGCGGAAAGGCCCCTTTCGGTCGGAATCGCGCTGTAACTTATTTCGGAATTAAGTAGGGGTATGTATTCGGAATTTTGATAGTGCGCGTAAGCGATGTCTTGGTTGTAGTAGGCTGGGTACGATAGATTTGTAATGTTTGCGATCGCCGGGTGTTGGTAAACTTGATGCGATGGTGATTGATTTGGGGAGGTCGGTGTTGAAAGTTGGTGTGGAGGTGGCGGACTGGATGTTAGCGACCAGCAGTTAATCGCGGGACTCATTACGGTTGGTGGAGTTTGCTGTTGAACGGCAGCCCAGCTGGAGTATGATGAGGGAGCTGATGATGTGTATGATGTCGGCTGTTGGACGTGGTCCGGTGGATTGTAAACTACAAAATGTGGAGTTAGTTAACTTGTAACTCTCCCATTTAGGGGTACCATTCGGTGGTGGAGAGACGGACGTTGATTTAGGCCTTTGTTGCACAACTGGATACGGTGCAAAACGGTTACCACGCATCGTTGACCTTGATGGATACCTCTCGCAGGTTGTAAATGTAACTGCTGATGTCGGATATACAGTTTGATGAGGAAGCAACCAAGAGCCATCTGAAAAGTTACAAACAGAAAACTTCAACGTGCCGTATACAGTAGTACTCACACTGAGAGTATTGCGCAGTTTGCTGCGTGGCATAGGACGCACCACAGTCTCTTTGGTTGTATACTGTGTCTGGTCGTTCCTTGGCATCCAAAAATGCTTTAGCAAAAGGATTATACCTAATTTTTAACGTGGTCACCTCTTCATTTTGATAGGCAGTTACTGCAATGAACTGCGTCTCTGGAAATGGAAACGTGACAATTCGCCTTTGCTCGGTTCCCACTCGTACTAAGTGCACCCTTGGTTCATACTTGTGTAGAGAATTTAACATAATCTGTCCATTCCCGTTGCACTTGTTTGTCAGTTTAACTTTGGCAAATGAAATTGATTCTTTCATCCAGTGCGCCCCGAAATTGGGCGACTCGGGATGAATGTAAATAGCGTTGGATGGGGGAACTTCGGCTTTTCCACCAGGTATCCACTCCCCGTTAACGTATTTCCAACGATGGTTGTCGATTTGCACGAACTCCAAAAGGACCGTATACATCGCCTTAGGGTCTAAGCCCGTTACCAAAACTTTAACCACAGGAAACATACGCCTGATACAAACAAATGTGATTAGCAACCAAATTAAAATTTGTTGTACAAATATTTTTATAACTTTTACTTTTAGAACCCACATCTCACCTTCCATTTTTCGTGACGATCATTTCGTTGGTGAACCTTTCGAATCGAACCCACAGGTCTCGATCGTCTAAAGTGACGCATAAATCTCGTTCGGTTGGATCGCCCTTAATTTTCGCTGTCGATATTTCTGATTCGACCGCCGAAAGTATATGCTGAGCCATTTATTTGTTTTCTACCTGCAAAAATGCGTGGTGGGTAAATGTGCAACCTGTTTACATGAATTTAAATTTCAAAAAGATGATCTTTCTTAACTGTAAATAAGCAAACATTCTTGGCCAATAAGAAAATTTTACTTATAATTTTTATGGCGTTGGCAAATATCATTAAAGATCGTGATCTCTCCAGCATTGGCAGTAATTTCTTTTGCAAATATTCTATCGCTTCCGATTAGTTTAAGTGTAATCCGTTTTGACCTTTATGTTCGTTTAAAATTACACCTCTGCCGTGCTTTAATTTAGGATAATAACTTACATCATGTGTCTATCCACCTTGAAGCAAGGTATTTACTTAGATACTTAAATAAACAAACATGGTAGGAATATCACCTCGCGCCGCCGAGACGTAGGTGGTACCAACCACTTTCAAATTGCGTGTTTGAACCAAAAGTACCCTTTGTACGTAGTTTTATGGTCTTCATATACGAGGTGGGCTAAAATCCTCGCCCATAATGTTGTTAGTACACAAGGCAAGTTATGTACGAGTATTATATGTATATGTGAAGGTGGAAGAAACGAATTCCTTTATCGTAGCGTAGGAATCGTAACATCAGAGGCGAAAAAAATAATGATTTGAACTGTTTTTCGAAGAGTTGCACAATGATGATCTTCAACAAAATTTACTTTCAGCAAAGATCGTAGTATGATCTTTGCTTTCAGTATGATATTGATACGGTCGGTTGTAACAAACATCATAGTTTGTCTTCAACTTATTCATTAGACGTTCGTTAAAGGAGACTTTTGCGATATGAAACTGGCCCTTACACTTTATTTTATTTTTATTTTTATTCCCTGATAATTAACTGCTAATAAACGTCTAGGTATAGTAAATGCATCATGTGAGCTTTTAAATTGTAAGTTTAAACAAATCGAAAGGTTAGTCGCTAATGTTCAGTTTTCTGCAGTTTCTAAAACAAATACAAATAATGCTACCTAATAATTACAAATTCCATCATGCATATTCAGGAATTCAAGGTCCATTTTCTTCAACTTGGATTTATAACATGCGACGTGAGCTTTAGTCAAACTAGCACCGTGCTTTTTAATGATACTATCAATGAGGTTCTTTTTTAGAACCAACGAGGGTGCTCGTTATAGAACAGTGCTCTTTTGCGGCGTCTGAATGAAAATAAATACTTACCCGAAAACTTAAGCCTATTATTGTCAACCAAATAAAAATGTCACGTTTTTTGTTGTTGCACCAAATCCACGTTTTTGTCCCTAACCTTACGATTAAATAGTATATTTCAATATATTCGGGGTGGTGAACGTTTGTGGATAGTAATCTTATTACACACACACACAATTCATAAGCAAATGCATAAGTGGGTGTATAATAATTTACAAAACAAACAGTTTTACAATGTTCCAGCTAGAATACCACCGCTGTAGCATAAAATGGTCGTACACATAACACGAAAGAATGTACCTACGTCACTCACTGCACTTCCCTGGAATATGTTTAAAGAAAAATGAAATTGCAACAAAAAAAAACGACAAAAAAGTGGAACTTTCGGCAAAAAAAGTGGAAATTTCTCTTACTTTAGGTCACAACGAGATGTTACAGATTACAGTATACTTGGTTAAAACGATTATTATCGTCATTCTTTCTACAAACTTAATTTATACCTACCGGAAAAAAGAGCAGGTTGCAGGTGACCGCGTAGCCAATTTTATACAGGATGAGATTAATAAATTTTGCTAGTTACAAGGGCACACATGGACATGGATGCATCTAGAAGACGGATTAGAAGCGCAACTTTAGAGAGCTTTTATTAGACCTGACAGCTTACTCAGGAAGCCGAAATCCATAATTTCCGAATTGGGATGCTTTTATAAATCAATCGAGATATAGGCAACGGAATGTCGTATAGATCCTCTGGCATTTCAGTCGAGTAGCTATGTTCCTTGTTTTCGATGTTCTTCGGGGATATTTTGAGAACTAAAAGATGCGATATGCACTTCTCGGAGTTACTTTTTAAAGCTGCCTAGATCGACGATGCCAGATTTTACGTATGGCTTCCGCAACAGCGCAAAAGTCCAAAAATGCAATAGACACTTTTTGCTTTACTTAGTTATTTCTGGGAATATCAAAATTTATGTAAAACTTTAGTAAGGGGGTATTTTTATGTTTTACATAGCTTGCTTAGTTTTTAAAATACAGCAGCAAAGATTGTTGTTTCAAATGGAATGTATATTTTTTTTGCACCAATAAATTCCGTATTTTTTTCTAATTAGAAAAATACATAGTTATCAGTATGTTTGAAGAAAAGAATTGAAATAAATAGGAAAAACCCTCATTTCATTCACTCATGAAAATGGGGATTAAATACAAGTGGGCCGTGGTTATAGTCCATATTTCAGGAAATGCTGAAAACAGTATTTGAATAGACTTTACTTTACACATTTCAGTTCAAATTGTATATATCTAAAAATTAGCCTCTGTAATCAATATAATAAGTCAATCTAAGGTGGGCAAACCATAGATATATAGAGATAAATGAGCAAATCCTAAAAATACTGTTGTTTTGAGCGTTTCCTGAAATATTAACTATATATTCCACGGCCTACTTGTCTTTAAACGGCATTTTCAAGACTGAATAACGGGTTTCCCTATTTATCTCAATTCTTATCAAACATAATTTATTGGTGCAAAAAAATATTATACATTCCATGTGAAAAAACAAACTTTGGTGCTGTATCTTAAAAAATAATAGCAAATATTCTCTTACTAAGAGGCTATTTTTACATAACTTTTATTCTTTATCCTATTTTTAATATTCCCACAAATAAGTAAGTTAAGCGAAAGCTTTTTATTGCATTTTTTAAACTTTTGCGCTGTTGCAACGTTCGCGCAAGTCATATGTAAAAATTGACATCGTCAATATAGGCAGCTTTGAAAAATACCTCCGAGAACTTGCAACCCGCATCACTCTATTTCTTTTAGTTCTTAAAATATATCCCCAACCAAAAACATCGAAAACAAGTCAAAAATGCGTCTAGTGAGGGCAGGCACATCAGAGACTTTTTAACTTGTTTTTTTTTACTTCTAAATCTAAATTTTCATATTAGGTCAGTGTTCCTTTTCGTGATACACCGCTAGGAAAAACAATTCCAAACATTTTGTTTTTAGTTCATCTGTTCTCCATATCAATTTTGAGAACCTGCCAATATCCACCTTATTTTTTATTCGCAGCATACATTTCAGCTTTGAAAAAGTGCACCTTACTGATAAGGCTTTGTACACCTTCGACTAATAAAAGAAAAGGGAATCAATAGGAGCAAAATTAAAAGGTCCAAAAAGTAAGCAAGTAAACTTTGTTCTGTCACAGTTTCCCAAACATTTTTCTCTTAACCGCGAAGTCAATTTTTCAAATTCTTTGTTGTAAACGCTTTTAGATCTTCTGGGAAGCAAACTAAGCTCTGCTTCCTCCGCTTTTTCGCTAACTTCGTCTTTTGATGATGACGCTTCCATTTTTTAGTTTTTCGGGAAAAAGTTGAATTGTTTTGAAAAAAAACATCTAAAAACTAGCACACGTTGCCATTTTGTGTAGTTTTGATAAGATGAAGAGTAAAATTTAACTGGTGTTCAATTGCGTCTACTCGACTACAAAATAACGTAAAATATTCGTTTATTAAGATAGTCGTTTATATTTTTTATAGCAATCAGTCCTATCATAACCGCTTACATTATAAACTAATGTTTTAATATAGATACTATTATGCAACTAAAACAAAGAAACGACGTTTATTTATGGAGTCTAATAGTGTGGATTTTATATATTTGCGCAAAAATCGTGTAGGTTATAAAATTGTCGTCAGTATAAAACAATGAAAAAGACGTTTTCGCCTTAAGACGAGTAACTTTAACTCATAAAAAGGGTTATACCGCGTGGTGCAACCAGTTGGCAACAATACCTTTGGTGGTCTCCAAAGCAAAAACGTAAATTTTCGGGAACTCTGAAGTGTAAAAGAGTATACTGGACATTGCTTAAAAAACTTCAGCGTTTTTATTAGCCGGCGCAGGAGCTGATACCTATGTCGGTTGCCTGGAAGTCATCAAACGTAGCTGAAGGTTACCTACGTAGATGCTTGTTTAGAGATAAAAAAAAATGATGTGCAAGTTGATAGTAGGTGGAGAAGACTAGCAAAACACCCAGAAAAATTTCATGAAACTGTTACCGCTTCTTCGCCTTCGGGAGTTTCGAATGTTCACATACCTCTCGAATGGATTGTGTGTAACTTCTGGTATTTGTTTTTCAAATTTAATTTTAATTTTAATTCTAAATAAAATTCCTGTAAAAATAGTTGCAAAATGAAAGTCCATTTTAGGAACCTCACCTTTTTTTGTGATTCTTTTGACGAAATTTACTATGTTTCAAAACCCGGTTCTTATATGTAATTTGTTCCTGATGTTCTATTATTTTCATTAAACGTTTACTTATTAAAAAAAAAAGATTACCACTAGTCTTGGCACTCAAAATGTCTTACATTTGAATAGTATTCTTCCACTTCTGCGTGTGTATCAATCATGTAAAATAAATTTTGATGCTGTTCCAATAACTGCATTTTCTCAACAGTTTTTTTAAAAATATCCTTTACGTTTGGAATAGGTAATTTAAATATAATATCATGTTTTAATTGGAACGTCCTGTTATTTTTAGTTTTCTAAAATAAGTGAAATTCTGGAAAAAGTAGCTGCTCTAAATCAATAAAATTTTACCTAAGTAACAGACACATACGTAAACAATAACGCACCCTAATAATAAATTGAGTGCAAAATATTGAAACTCCGGGGCTGTTTATTTAAGGCTACGTTGAAATAATCAAAATTTTGCAGCTCTGTTATTATTTCAATGATGGTTATTATGTGTCAAGAAATTGTTTACTATTTTCCATTTCTTTCGAATATGCAAAAAAGAATCTTGCTTTAAGCATTCAGAAGCAATAAGCCATTTTTGGAATCTTCCCAGCTTTGTCACAGCTTGGGCAAAATAATTTTTCTATACTAAACTACTACTAGGTACTAAACAAAGCTTGCATTTTTCTCTTGGTAACGGTCTTATATCAGACTTTCAAGGGTTTCAAAATCAATATTTTCTGTGATACTTATAGATTAACACAGCGCTATATAACTATATTAGGTATTTACATTACCTACCTAAGCGTTCAGATTCACATAAGGAATTAAAGCTCAAATAATAAAGAATGCTAATTGCATTGTGATTGTGTATCAATATGATCGGTTACAAAAAAAATAGTGTAAGCAGATACTAAACACCCTGTTGGATAGAACCAGAACAATTTTATATCATGTGAAAACTTACACAGGTACCTACTTGTATTGTCAAATTTTTGAGAATGACAATATCTTTGTAATTTTCCCGATCGTCGAAAAAGGGAATATACATGATTTGATCATGGTGTTCTTGTACTAGTAACATCCGCTGCATAAAAACGAAATTTATGTTGTCTCCATTACCGATTCTTTGTGTCCTTAAAATGGTCTTGGGGTGCAATTTAGCTTGGGCCAACACTGATATGACAAATTTGATTGTTTTCAGAAATTGATGTGTGTTTTTGAAAAAAACTGATTTATAAAGTTACACTGTGTTAAGTTGCAAAAACGTTAATACAGGAAAAATACTTACGCAATTTTCTGAGAACGACCAACGGCCAAAAACCAAAAAAATCACATTTCACATGTCAATCATATATTGTATGTTTAGTTAATAAACACGGTAGTTAGTATTTTGTAAATTAAACGTTTATTATATATTATTTCACACCAAACCGATAAATACTTCTTATATTTCACAAATCTTCACATATTACCACGACATAACTAAAATCTTAAGACTACAAATTGATCATTGCCTAACCACACCTACCAAACGCTATTGGCTGCGAGGAATACAGGTAAGTGGACAAAATAGTACCGGGGTTACCTAAAAATCGTCCCACATCATTAATTCTTAGCCCAAATTTATTGATTACCGCATACCTTCTTTGTATATAGGGGATGTTGTAAATTTTTTCGTCGACTTCCTGCTTTTCGAGCGCGATAGTGGATGCGCCTTCGAAGGGTTGTGGCGGCGACCACCCAGCATTAATTTTCGTTCGGATCCGTTGCAAATATTGACCCAAACATTATTTTTTAAAGATAAGAAGAAAAAATGGACGGCCATAAACTTTCGCACAGTCCAGCAGATCGTTATGGTTTTAAATTTGTTTAACCAATTAGCACCGTTGACGTCTACGCTATAAGCCCGTGCTTTTTTCCCCTTAATGACGACCACTCTTTGTGTATTTTTCATATTACTATACATAGTTTTTTGGTAAACCGGTTCTATTTTTAAGCACGTAACGCAAATCCATATTTTCAATCTGCTTTTGAGTAAAATTTTTGGTAGCCGTTTTCGCGCGTTCGTAAAATTAATTTGTCAACATTTTAAGTACCTATAATAAAATGGAAAAATCAAAATCGTCTTGGAGTTAAGTAAGACACGTACGAAACCTTCCCGCGTGATACAGCCCATCTATAAAAAAAAGATATATTTAAAAGATCAAAAAGGCCGACGTTACCGTACCTTGCCATTGGGCCATAAAGACATTAAAACAAGTGCTTCTGATACCTGTGTTGTTTTATTTTACTGTTATTTGAATTTTATTTCTCAACCTGTTGTCATAAAAGCTCGCCGAGCAAATTGCTCACTCTCTTTCAATAAAATATTATGACTGCGTTTAACAATACCCGTTCATCTTTTTAATGAATTATTCGTAGTTAATATCTATCGTAAAAATTGCATAATTAATATCACTCGTCTATGTCCTGAAGGCGTGCAGGTCTGTACAATTTATCAGAAATCGCGTTCCTCGTTGAAGCCATCATAGTGAATATCTAAATTTGAGCTATGTGCACAAAATTGTGTGCAATAGTAAATGCAACACAATCTAAACCAATTTCTTGAAATAAGGGAACATGTTTCATGTTTTCTCCATTTCGCAGCTCTTGATGCCATAGAAACCCATTTTTTACAAACGGTTAAAAAGTTCTTATTTGTTCAGTTCAGCAAAAGTATACGGTTCGAAAATAGAAAAGGATTTTCTACGAGATTTCATTTACCTAGTCCACATCATAACCATTAATACTTATAATATTGTCTGTGGTATAACTGCTCGTTTAGCATGTTCCCATTTATTTTTCAGACCATTTGCTTTTAGCTTTATTTTAGTTTTGTCGATATACTAGAGGCAATTAGTAATATTCAGAGGTGCAAGTTTTGAAAATTATGGTCGCAAACGCTACATATTTTCCATGCCCGTCACGTTTTGTTCCAAATTTATCATCGTTTAAACTTATATCATTTATAATGCTTATAACGAATCGGTAGATTTTGCTATGGTTACAATATCATTACCACAATCACAGATTTAAAAATCTGTGCCACAATTGTTTCTAGGAAGATAATAATGTCGCTTTGGTTTTGGCGGTTCTTCTATCAATAGAAAATAACTACTGTAGCCACACTGCATGTAGCAAGAAGGAATCGAATCTTATGAGTGAACAGCTGCGTGGGCCTAAAAGAAATATTGGAGGATACTATTTTTCCTATTTATACAAACTTTTATTTGATGTAATACGGCCGCTGTTTATTTCTGTTTAAGATCAAGATAGGTATATGTAATGCAAATCAGACTATGGTACGAAATAAAAGAGCGACAAGGAATCTTGAATACTGTCTAAAAGGAAATGGCAAGCATTTATCGCATGAAAATTCACAAATCTTTGTTATTTAAGTTTTCATGTTTAATAAAGGCTCATCTGGTGCCATTTGTTTTGCCGCATACATCACCTACTTCATTTACGTATTACCATTGAATAAAATAGTGTTTTTATTCAATGGTATTACGTAGCTGCCGGGTAGATGTGTTAGTGTTCCAAATACTGCACTTCAAACTGCACACATTTTTCTGTGCGATAAAATGTAAACCTTTCACGCTAATGAACGTTGTTAATAATGTACAGCAATTTCTATATGTGTCTGAATACGCAATGAAGGAGCACTATATAAGGTCTTGAAAGAGGTGGACGTGAGAGATTACCTATTTAACAGCAACATTATATTCATGTAAAAACTCGACATATGTAATTTTTCCCCCCTCCTTTCATTTCAATAACACATTCATAGCATTGTTCCAGCTCATTGATTTTTTCACAGTAAATACAATCATTAAATCTACAATATATTATAATCAAACGCAATGCAACAATTTCCATTCGATGGTTGCAAAATGCAAAATAAAGTGCATGACATTTCACAATTTTCCCCCAACGAAAATTATCTTCACTTCACCCTCCAGTATTTAATAAAAAACGTGCTGACCGTCGCCCAGTGCTTCGCCATACTGCCCGTTAGTAAGACGCGCGAAAATGCGGAAGATTTGCAATTTGAGTGGCGGTCGTTTAAAACTACGTACGCAATATTCGCAATATTGTCAGTGGGCGTGTATTCGTTGGTGGTCTTGCTTAACTCGATCGCGACGAGTGAGGGATTTCTCAGCTTTGGTAGTAAAATTGGAAAGGTTTCGAAAATTGAATTGAGCTCGGTTGTTTCAGTGGTTGTCATATGGAATGTGCGCTCTTTTGTCGCCCTGCTCGTTTTCCTGAGGTTGGCCCAGAAATGGCCGAATCTACTTCAGGAGTGGACAAGGGTTGAGATCGATATGTTGTGTTATGGTGCACTACCGACACTTAAATTGCGATTTATTGTAATGCCAATCGCTTTTCTGATAGCTGGATTGGGTGAGTATAGGTTCCAATCTCTTTGTATTCAATTTGGATAACAAGGATTATAGCCCTATGAAGCATATAGTTAAATATATTCTTTGCACCTGTTTCGACAGCGAAACTATCATCATCAGCGCACTTTGCATTTAAATGAATGAGAGATTGTAACGCGTGCCGTTTTTCTTGTATAGTTGAACATTTCACCTACGTATACGCATGGATAAGAACCGTTTCAAAGAAAATTCAGCCTCAAGAAAATTTTACGCGTTTGTATTATGAGTATGTATACGATGGGTTCTTTGACACATTCGGATACGCGCCTTGGAAAGTTCTGTATGTGGAGGTACGTTTCCCGCTGCGATTTATTACACAGGAATGTACCTAACATTAATTTTTAGTTTGTAGGAGCCATAATAACATTTGCATGGCAGTTCGTCAATATTCTTATTATCTTGATGTCATCAACACTGGCAGAGAGATTTCGTCAGCTAAACAGATTCATTTCTAAAGAAGAGGTGAACATCAAATTAAGTACTTCACTCTAGCTTCTGTTTTCTTTGCACTTTATAACTAACTATAATCGGGTAAAATGAGCAGAATTGTGATTTATGCGAAAAAAATACATAAATCAATAGGTTATTGACGAAATTCCGCTACATGATCAGTAATAGTAGATTATTAATTTTGTGTAGAGAAGTATTAATTTTCATGGCGCGCCTGGGTGTTTTAAATACTTATAGTCGTCGAACGAAGTGAGGCAGCTAGTTCAGGAATCAGGCAGGCCATGAAAAGTCACTTCTCCTCCAAATAAAGAGTTTTTGTCAACTCTCGTTTTCAAAACTTTGAACTCCAGTTGAAAACTCCACTTTCTTTTCTGGTACAATAACCATTTTTCTTCAAACATCTCCAAAACACTAATTTTAATGATAGTAGGCCTTTTGGTAAAGTTCGTTAAATTAATCGTCATTCATCAGCCCTGTGATGTAGGTATAAGGCAAAATATAGATTTTTCGCAGATAACCTTCATGTTAAGTTTGACCCTTCTGATACATCACAGGGCTGATTGTCTTCATTTCATACAGAGGTAGGTGCTTTTTCTATAAAGAATCATTGTCTAATGCATAACATTTCCAAAGTCTTTAATTACAAACAGTGGATTTACACAACAAAATTAGCACAAACTTTTTTTCGTCAGTGTACACACAGAATTATGTACCCGTGGCTAAATTTCACGAGAATGATTCTGTAGATTGCGCCTACTTAAAAATTAGTTTAAGTGAAGTGTTTAATAAAATTAACAATTTGAATTGCTCAACAGGTCCAGGTCCTGGTCCTGATAGCATATCAGCACTTTTCCTTAAAGAAACTGCATTTGTTATCTCTCCTCCCCTAACACTACTTTTTAATTATTCGCTTTCAACCGGCTACGTTCCCGATACCTGGAAAGTGAGCTATGTCGCACCCATACATAAATCAGGCGACAAATCTAATATTCGTAACTATCGCCCAATTTCAATCTTAAATATAATTCCAAAAATCTTTGAAAATATTATAGTTGATAAAATCACCCCTTTATTTAGCAATATTATAACTGAAGAGCAACATGGTTTTACGAAAGGCAGATCTACATGTACAAACTTGCTAGTTTACCAACAATATATTTTAAAAGCGTTAGAGAACGGTCACCAAGTTGATGCAATATACACGGATTTTACAAAGGCGTTCGATAGAGTTAATCACCAACTCTTACTAAATAAATTATCAAGTTATGGCATAAAAAATCCGCTGTTAACATGTTTACTAATTATTTGTCAGGGCGTCAGCAAATAGTTAAAATAAAGTAATTTACTTCCTACGCAATACCAATAACTTCAGGAATTCCGCAAGGGTCACATATAGGCCCGCTATTGTTTAATATTTTTATTAATGATATTTCTAGTTGTTGTAGAAATTCAAAATTTTTACTATTTGCAGATGACCTTAAGTTGTATTCAATTGTAAGGTCCGCTTCAGATGCCATAACGCTCCAATCTTCTCTAAATGAAGTCCTACAGTGGTGCCACAACAATGATATGTGCCTCAACTTTTCTAAATGCTGTGTGATGCGTTTTCATCGAATCTCTAGGCCCTATCTGTTCAATTATATGATAGGTAATGTCTCTTTGTGTTCTGTTTCAACAATTGTTGACCTTGGTGTTACTCTTGACCCGGCCCTAAGATTTCATCAGCACATTAATAACTTAACTTCGAAAGCTCTACAAAAACTTGGTTTCCTGAAGCGCACTACGGCCCATTTTACACACATACAGACGATAAGGTCGTTGTACTGCTCGATAGTAAGGAGCAATATTGAGTACTGCTCTCCTGTTTGGTCCCCACACTTTGATAAGTACATCCATAGAATTGAGTCCATTCAACACAAGTTTCTTAGATATGCGGCATTTAAATTAAAGATAGCAATACATAGTAACGATTTTTCTTATAAAGAAATACAGTGTATTTTGAACTTACAATCCTTAAGTACCCGTAGGAAGTTTGCAGATGTGTACATTTTATTTAAATTAGTTAACTCTGATATAGATTGCCCATACTTATTGTCAAACATATGCTTAAACGTTCCCTCCAGAATTTTACGTAATATACAATTATTCCATGTTCCCTTCCACAGAACAATGTACGGACAATACTCTCCTCTAGTAAGAATGTGCAATTCCGCAAATGTAGGTACTATGCACTAATATTAACTTTTTTGGTACTACGTTTATCGAATTCCGAAGGAAGCTGATTAGTCTAGGCGATAAAGACATCTAACTGGACATTTTGAGGTGGAAAAGAAAAAATGGTGGAATATGTTCAGTTAGGTGTCAGAAACAACATATTAATAATCCCACCCCCCAGACCCTGTGCTAAAGGCTGCAGCCACCCCACCATCCCCCAAAAACCGTGTTTTCGCTCTTTTTGGCTGATATCTCGCGATCTATGAGGTCTATATGAAATATTTTTAGCTGAAAATATTTCTCGGGAAATTTTATACAAGGTAGATACTCAGAAGTTAGCCTAGGTGTACCTCTTCGCCTAGGAAATTCATAAAAGAGGCGAAAATCATCAATTTTCGTGGCTTTTTGCAAATATATCGCGACCTTTAGGGCTAGATGAAATATTTTTAGCTGAAAATGCTCCTCGTGACATTTCTTACAAGGTAGATACCCAGAAGTTAGCCTAGGTGTACCTCTTAGCCTAGAAAATTCATAAAAGGAGGCGAAAATCATCATTTTCGTGTTTTTTTTTCGGTTTTTTGCAAATATATCGCGACCTTCAGGGCTAGATGAAATATGTTTAGCTGAAAATGCTCTACGTGCAATTTCATACGAGATAGGTAACTGAAGAGTTGGCGTAAAGTCACCTTTCACCTTCAACTTTCATGTGTTAATAATAATATTTTATTCCATAGACAAACTATAGTTTGTGTGGAAATTGTCAACAAATATTTAAATTACGAGTAGGTACATACATATTAAGTATTATATAGGTAAAAAACAAATTACACATTAAATAGCGACAAACAAGTTACATTAAACGGTAAAATATTCACTTATATCATAGTGACATTTGTCAACTAGAAACAAATATAATTTTTCTTTAAAGATTGATAATTGCCTACAGTTACGTATTATGTAAGGTAAATGGTTATAGATCTTAATTCCCAGATTGGAGGGTGAATTGATTCCAATTTTTGTCTTAGTGAAATGTGGTCGAAGATTATCATTACCTCGGATATTGTATTGATGTAGGTATATCCTTACTTTTAACCATCTTGTTAGAGTTGACATAAATATATTGACAGATAATTCTCTTTTGAGAGAGAAAGACGCAACGAGAATAAGGGGATGGTCCCCATAAACAAATTCCGTAACGAATGATAGAAGCTACTGATGCGTGGTAGATCGGAATTAATTGTGGTAGTGTAAATATAGTACGTAAGTTTCTAAATAAATAATTAGTTCTATTTAACTTATTGACTATATTAGTACAATGTACTTGCCAATTCAAATGTGCATCTATATGTAAACCTAGAAATTTTGTGCTGGTCGCTTCCTGTAATTTATATTGATTAAAAGTTAAAGTTATGTTTTGTACATTAGATTGGAGGTGACGGAACCTGATAAAATTACTCTTCTTCTCACTTAGAGTGAGCGAATTAGATGAAAACCAATCATATAGCTGAGATAAATTTTTGTTACATATGTTTTCTAAAGATTTATCCCATTCGTCAGAAATTAATAAGGATGTGTCATCTGCGTACAGAATGCAATGTGCCTCTTCGTCCAGGTGAAGGTGGATATCGTTCATATAGAAAAGGAATAGAACTGGCCCTAGCACGGATCCTTGCAGTACACCTATATCAACAACTGCCTCTTGTGATGAATACGATTCACGAACTCCGTTGTTACAATAATCTATTACCACTTTCTGTTTACGATTTTTGAGAAATGATTCAAGCCACTTGTGTGCTAGTCATAAAACCAGCATTTTCATATTAAAATATTCACACATTCCTTTATACCTCAACGTAATCATTATCCTCTGCAGATTCCACTTCTTCAGGTTCTTCGACGTCCTCTAGTGCTAGTGGGTCGTCTGAAATTACCGACTCGTAGTTCTCCTCGCCTTCCGCTTTACCTGCATGGGCACCCTGAAACGACGACGTCGCATTTAGGCACGATGTTCCATGACACTGGACGCAGAATTCGTTCTTCAGACCTACAACAAAAAGTATTACCTATGTCAAAAAAAATTTATAATTAAGTATACGAATATAATATTCTCTCGTGTGTCCTAACTCCTAAGTGTCGGGTAGAGAAGGTTTACCTGATTTTCTGAAAGTGCAGTTGCAGGAAATCAGGTAAACCTTCTCTACCAGACACCTAGGACACACGAGAGAATATTATAATCGTATACATAATTATAAACATTTTTTTGACATAATGCTTCTTGTTGTAGGTCTGAAGTGTAATGAACTCTGCGTCCAGTGTCATGGAGCATCGTGCCTAAATGCGACGTCGTCTCTTCAGGGTACCCATGCATCAGGTAACGCGGAAGACGAGAACTACGAGTCGGTAATCTCAGACGACCCACTACCACTAGAGGACGTCGAAGAGCCTGAAGAAGTGGAATCTGCATCTAGTCTATAACTTTTGATTGAGAAGTCTGATCGAAAACGTACGAATTGATTTGGATTCTACGCACCCAAATTAATAAGAAAAAGTGTTTTCCCGAGAAATTTTGGTGTAGTCAATTTTTGGTAAAAAGGAAGGTTATACACTGCCTTTTTTTGAGCCCCGAAAAAAAAATTGTCTCAGATCGACCCGGAAAAAAATTTTCTTATAGAATGTGGCCTGTAGAATCCTTAATTTCAAACAGTTCCAAGATTGGGCTACTAGTTCAAAAGTTACAGCCCTTTGAATTTTTTTTCGAAATTGTTTTCTAGTCTATAACTTTTGATTGAGAAGTCTGATCGAAAAAGTACGAATTGATTTGGATTCTACGCACCCAAATTAATAAGAAAAATTGTTTTCCCGAGAAATTTTGGTGTAGTCGATTTTTGGTAAAAAAGGAAGGTTATACACTGCCTTTTTTTGAGCCCCAAAAAAAATTGTCTCAGATCGTCTCGGAAAAAAATTTTCTTATAGAATGTAGCCTGTAGAATCCATAATTTCAAACAGTTCCAAGATTGGGCTACTACGTAGTTCAAAAGTTACAGCCCTTTGAATTTTTTTTCAAATTGGTTTCTAGTCTATAACTTTTGATTAAGAAGTCTGATCGAAAAAGTACGAATTGATTTGGATAAGTATAAGGATAATGATTACGTTGAGGTATAAATGAGTGTGTGAATATTTTAATATGAAAAATACTGTTTTTACGTGAATAAATGGTACATAGAAATACTATGATGTTTGATGAATATTTTCTCACGCATGAAAGTTGAAGGTGAAAGGTGACTTTACGCCAACTCTTCAGTTATCTACCTCGTATGAAATTTCAAGAAGAGCATTTTCAGCTAAACATATTTCATCTAGCCCTGACGGTCGCGATATTTTTGCAAAAAACCGCAAAAAAAACACGAAAATGATGATTTTCGCCTCCTTTTATGAATTTTCTAGGCTAAGAGGTCCACCTAGGCTAACTTCTGAGTATCTACCTTGTAAAAAATTTCACGAGGAGCATTTTCAGCTAAAAATATTTCATCTAGCCCTAAAGGTCGCGATATATTTGCAAAAAGCCACGAAAATTGATGATTTTCGCCGCTTTTATGAATTTCGTACGCTAAGAGGTACACCTAGGCTAACTTCTGAGTATCTACCTTGTATGAAATTTCCCGAGAAATATTTTCAGCTAAAAATATTTCATATACCTTATAGATCGCGAGATATCAGCCAAAAAGAGCGAAAACACGGTTTTTGGGGGATAGTGGGGTGGCTGGAGCCTTTAGCACAGGGTCTGGAGGGTGGGATTTTTAATATGTTGTTTTTGACACCTAACTGAACATATTCCAACATTTTTTTCTTTTCCACCTCAAAATGTCCAGTTTGCCAATTTTACAGTCTCTATCGCCTAGACTAGATGTTACACAACGGTTAACTGTATCCTTTTACAACAAAAAGATGAATACATCATATATAATTACTTCTTTTGAAGATGGAAAGTTTTACACATAAATAATTATTATGAATTATTTTAGTGTATAACAGAAACCCAATGGAGACGAACACGAAAGCACTACACAAAACTGTCAATTCTATGCAAGAAGTTTAATGAAACATTTTCAAGTTTGATCCTTCTATCGTACAGCGCAAATGTCTATTTCTTCTCAATTTCGATTTTTCAAAGTATGAGGTAAGTCATTAGGTATAGTAAATATAACTTTAGCCGACCTATTGCAGTGTAAGAAGTACATTTGAAGCGATTTTTGTCTGGTTTAACGTCATTTTCATATTCATCCATTTTTCTTTAGTAAGTCTGTACGGGGCGTGGGTTTACGAAGAGAGTGTAGATCTGATTCCGAAACTGACAACTTTACAGCTTAAACACGTTAATCACGAGGTACGTACTTAATGGAGGCCGCTTTACACGTCGCGTATTTTAATTTTAGGTGGAGCGGTTACTAGTCCAAATGGCTAATAACGACAATGGAGTATCAGGTGCAGGTTTCTTTAAGGTCACGAGATCGGTGATTTTACAGGTGAGATCAAGGAAAATGACTGGTAAATATGGAAAGTTTTCAGGCTCTGAATGTGGTTGTAACACTACAGTTGATATTTGTGCAATTTCAAGCAACCTTTGCGACGAATGTACAGTAGAATTTGGTAGGATCAATGGTACTAACAAAAGAAATAGAAACAAATATTACTGTGACGTTTATTGAAAATTAACCACCCCATGTCAGTCTTACAACGTGAGTCTTTCTCTTATAACTTTTTATAAATCCCAAAAACTCCAAATCAGCAACGCCCTGTATAAAACGTGCACTAAACAATGTTAAGGAAAATTACACACAATGGTAAACATGCCTAATATTTTAGAATAATGGTTATTTAATCCACTGGGTTTTTTGTAATGGTACTAAATAAAGCTCTTCGATTGTTGTATAATAATGTTTAATTGAGTTTTTTGCAACAAGCTGCAGCAGCAAAAATCAAACTGGCTAGCTCACAGGTAAGTCACAGTCATATTGATTGAACACTACCTTCCAATGGCACATAAGATGCTGTGCCCTTTGACTGATTGCATCACCAAAGTGATGGGCGGTGGGGTCATCATGTCCCGACGCCATTTATTAGTATTTGAACAACAAACTGTTATTTATACAACAAATTACATAATCGTTATCAATGTAATCAAATTAAGAATACGTTCTTCTCCAATTAATTTGGTTGGATAGTGAAATTTTATTTCTTGTTTAGAGAAAACCCCATTTGTAATTGATCAATGTCTGCAATCAATTCATGGTACTTGGTGGAGTACAAGGTTCATAAACTTAAGTACCTCCACCACACTAAATAAGAAAGTTAAACTGTAAGAATACCAGTTCTAACCATTTATCAATGGATGGAAGCCATATATGAATATCTTCAGAAAAATGGAGAGCTGATTTCTAGACTGCCAGACGGAAGTATCTAAGAAATTCTCCAAAAGTTAAGTCTGGTGTCATAATACACGCCAAGAAGAAGTGAGGTGGTCAAAGATCTGGTAGTCAGGTCTACAATTTACAAAAGGATACTGAACCTCCGGACTAACAGGCCTATTCTCGGCATCCTCTTCACCACTGTCAATGTATGGATCGACGATCGTCACAAACGCCTGCAGCCAATCATATAAATTAATTAATTTCCCATACTCCAAATGTAACTTATACAAAATACTTATATCCGGCATACTTGCTGAAATTCTTCCATCATCGGTCAACTTGCAACAGTCACACTGCAAGAAAGCAGTTAGATAATTGTGCACCAGTAAAAAGGTGAGCTACATGAAAGTAATAAGATGGATTATTTAGAGCGGTGTGAATTGCAGATCGATGAGAACCCAGGAGGACCTGTCTAATTGACAGATTATTAAAAAAAAATAATTCGTAAAACGGCACAGAACTGGGATGTCTTAAGTACTTGTCGAACACGTCCTGTAGATACTGAATCAGTGCCGCTCGCGCCTTATCGTAGTTACTCAACTGTTTAGGTGCCCTAGTCAGTTCGCGCAGCTTCTACTAGACAAATTTGTTAGACGCTTTGCGCGGGAAAAATGAGACTACCTGCTTAAGCTGCAACCGATTCATTTTCTCCGACAGCATTAATTCACCTCCCAGCTTCGGCTCCTCTGCAACCTCCGTTGTTGCGTCCTCCAACTTTACCAAATGTTCCTGTAATTGCGCCAGAACGTCTTGAATTTCGTCGCCGTCATGATCTTCTAAAATAAGACACATGCCTGATACTTTCTCGGTCAGTTCCTGTTTGGAGTGAAATCCGAGTAACTTAAATGCTTCTATGTAACCCTCACTTTGAGTGATCTCTCCCGAAGTTGCTGTGGAATATAATTCGCGTACCTACACAGTTGTATAAAAAGTTATGCCAAGTGAATCCAGTGGAGGTCTTCTTTTAGTCCCACGCATTCAAAGAGTATATGGTTTTCCTTCACAGTGGAAATGATTGCTAGAGAAATGTCATCGACGCTTTTTAATAAAATGTTGCAACGTTTCTGCTGCCCTTAGGTTTAATTTGTGCTACTTTCCACCCTGATGCAGCTTTCAGGGCGACTGACGGATTCTGCCATGTCGGCTTTTTCTTATTAAGCTGTGCTTAATTTACAGACTTGCAAAAGTAACTTAACACGACCTATTTCCAGCGTATAATTCAAAACCAAACCCAGACAACGGGGCGACAAACAACATTTAACGCAAATAATCGATCTCGAGTAGCTCAAATGAACTTATGTCAGCATTACAATTCTACCTTGCATGGGTGGGACTGTAGACCCAATAACTAACCTGTTTCCCAAGCGGGCAGTTGGGTAAACTGTGAACTAGCGAATGTAGGCATTTCAAATATAAATGAAACATGCTTAAATATGAATAAAAATGCTGAACTCCTTGTATAAGTGTCTCCTCAAAATTGTCAGAACCTTCGATATGGTCCCTAACGGATTGTAGGCTTTTAACTGCTGCCAAATCATCGTCACTCAATTGCTCGACCACTCTATTTACTTTATGTGAAAATGTGCATAGTGCCATAATCGAATGGGCCGAGTAGTGTTCCAGCATAGCATACTAGGAAATGATCAATGAAACGCAGCATAAGAATGACTACTTACCTTGAAATTTTTTATAAATCTCTGCACGGAAAGGTCATAGTAAAGAAAAATATCCGTAAAGCATTGAAAAACCTTTCCACCGATGTGAAAGGGGCAGTCCTCAGTTAGCAGCACACTTTCAATAATCCGATTCAAATACAAATGTGATGGCTGTGTATTAAATACTTGAATGTTAATTTTCGATGACACATGAAACGGCAGTGACCTATGAATGGCATTAACCGAAGTTGCTATTCCAAATATTAAAATAATTGGCAATACATTTAAGTAGGAACTGCAAAAGTCGATAGCTACAACTTGGTTTGGGGCAAAAATTCATCTACCTTATTATCAGTATAAAATCCTGCAAGCTTTTCTCATTAAAATTCTCGAAATCTGGAATAATAATCACTAAAGGCTGAGCAACACTGCGCGTTTTTCGTTTTGAGTTTGTAGATCCATGTAACGACTCGTACCACGCTTGTAAAAAGGCAAAGGTGCAATAGGTCTTGCGGATTTTTGATTTTAACTCGTCCCCCTACGACACTTGTCAATCTCCGCATTCAGTAAGTCAATACTTACATCACTCTCGTAGCTGTGAACCTTGTTAACAAATTGATCGACGGCACTCTCAACCAGGTTTTTCAAGGTGCTACAATGTTCCGTGTGCAGAACGGCAATGTGAGGAGTAACCGATTTTTTTATCTCCTTACACAAAGTCGAGAACAAAGCGACGTGATCGGGCATGTTTATACCTGTAAGCAGGGTTTTTGTCGGTACTTCTGTTACTTTCTCGTTGAAGCTTGATTTTACAGAGTCCACTAGATTCTTCAAAAGACCCGTAAACATTTCATCGTTCAAGATCTGCAAGTTAGCAATCACAAAAGTGGTAGATTAAAAACTTTGTCTTACTTCGATTTTCTGTTCCACTTTTGTCCATACAGACTTAAAGGATTGGTACCATAATTGATCTGCGAAGACATTGTCCGTTCCATCTTTCCTTTTATAGTCCGCTATATTCTTAGTTTTATAAACAAAGATGCCCTGGAAGCAATCGGCACGGTTTTAGAAAGGTGGGTAGCTTAACCCAAGCGAGATATGTTCCTGATAATTACCTTAGAAATCGTTAGATTAGTATCCATTATACTTCTTTTTACATTTAATAATTTGGTATTTAGTTATTTTATTAATGAGTATGTATGTTATTGGAGGTTAACCTAACTTTTCAAGATTTAAATTTTGTGTTACTTATAATTCTTATAGATGGCAGCACAAAACAATGTATAGGGTAACTAATAAATTTAGTACACAGATGTTTCAAATTGTATAGCTCACATATGACGTCAGTGACCGTAATGGAGTCAATTACAAATAATGAAAATAGCTATATAACTGTAATAATAATGTCTTTCATTCACAAATTAACGTACATAATCAACAAAAATAAGTATACACTAGGCGAAGTTCAACATGTTGACAGAACGAGAACAACTGTTGCTCTGCCACTCAACCAAAGCATGTATTTACATCTCCAATGCGAAACATGATTCAGGATTTGGTTGGACAGATGCCCACAGACACATCTGGCCCCGTTGTGCTGTCATCATCTGTAGTATGGGAGCAAGATACTTTTGACCTTGAGCGACAACACTCAGTGGCGAATTTAGGTGCAAACGCAACACACGATTGATATTTCCGAACACGAGTCTAGGAAAATTAAAGAGTATTCCACAGTAAGGCAGATTACATATAGTAACTCTAACTGTGCGTTTTTTGCAAGAAAGATCGTGCATATTGATCAATATATGATCTAAGAAGGGCATACTAAAGTGTCTACTTCTGGTGGTTTGAGGAGAAAATGGATGTTCACAATTTGCAGTATACTTAAACAGATAAAAAATGATCATTATTGCTCTGTTCCGCGACTAAAATGATTGTCAGACTCGGAAAACTGGATACGCCCCTATGAATCTCATTATGCGTAATTTAAACTTTTAACTTTGGTATACAAATTTTATTGAAACAATACAGTTGCACTTCACTTTATAATGAAAACTACACTTATTCTCTTACGGGCTGCACATGTGGCCTGAAAGATGATGACTTTTGCAGTAATAAAGAAATAAACTATACATTTGGCAAAATTCGCACGACGTGCTCACAGTTCGCTGCGTATCACTAACACTGTGTCCATTGCACAACTCAGTCGTGGCCCCATCAAACCTTCATATACTGTATCGAACACCAAAGTAATACAGGTGCAAAGTATGTAAACAGACGATAAATATTATTGAAATTATTTATGAATAGATATTTTCCAAATTAAGAGTAATCCTAAAACTAAGAACAAAAACAATTTTTACACGATATTATGTAATAAGGCTCAAGTCAAGACTTCAGTTGATTTCTCATACAATGCCACCTGTATGCTTTAAAACAAAATAATTAAAGGAGGGGCTGGCTAACATCTTATTAAAAAAGACAGTAGAGAAATGATTGTATGTACAATCAGTAATGAGTACACAAGTTTTAGATGGTTTTCAACATCGTTCGTAATTATAATATACACTACTTTATTAGTTCGTAATCACTTTTTGTTAAGTCTTTTAAGAGAGGTGGAAGGAGTGTTGACCTTCCGATGCGGCAATTCTTAATTTCTCCCTCAGTACTTCTTTACTGGAGTAGTCCGGAAGTTTAAGATAGTTTACACAGGTCATCACAGATGGGAGAAAATCATCTGCGTTTTGGTTTGGTTCTAACGTTCTTCGTACTACTGTCAGTGGCGGAGAAAGGGCTTTAAAACCTGAAAAACTGAACCTGAAGTAAATGCGGTTACCGTAGACAGACGTACCTCCGACAGGTAGACGAGGTGTGCCAGTTAAAAATTGTATAAACAAGCGCTGTTCGTCGCGATTATAGGAACTGAGTACTTCAAACAAAAATTTAATTGCTTTCGAATCTGCCGTGTAACCGTGGTCCGGTTTGCAACAGTCCATTAGTGTCTTAACGTCCCATCCTGAAAGTGTATCACGGGGATTACCGCAGAATACGGCCTCCAATTCTTCTGGATGGAACATTTTCAAGCTCTGTAGAGGGAAAACTGATTCAAAGCCTTCTCTTAACGCTTCCATTTGTCGGCTGACCCCTTCAAACAGGAACCAATGAGTGACGAGATTTGAATATAAGTGCATGTTATGTATCGACATTTGAGTGGATTTTCCATTTTTCATTAAATCAATGTTATAGCCGGGGAGTACAAAATCTAAGTTGAGATCTTCAATGGGGCAACCATCAAACTCCAGCTTCTCAATCTACAATAAAGCATAAGTCTTTATTGGAATAGGGACAATAATTACCTCTTCAGTTTTATCGACAGTCGACAAATCTGGATCATTCAATATCGCATCACGTCTTCGAACAATGTGCTGCATCTTCCTCAAAGTTTTATGCATAGTGGGCGATAAGTGAACTAAATCGGCTGTTGTGAGGCAATGTTCTTGTCCTAGCAACCACCTGTAGAATGTTAACGAGAAAGGCAAATCCAACTGAAAGTTTAAATGTAAGCACCCGTATGAAGCTTAAGATGAAACTGTACCATTCGTGAATCCATAACCGCCTTGGCCATAAACTTGCCCAAGAATCGGAATTTAGTTTTTGTCTTACTAATCTGTCCAACCTTCGCACCTCTTCCGATCGGTGCGGGGAAAAGACCCATGGCTTGATGCACAAAATCGTTACCAGCCGAATCCGGTGCGTGCCACAACTCCAAATCGGCACGCTGCAATTCCTTCGAAACTAAGGCGTAGAACTCCAAAGTTGGACCCAACCCAGTACCGACCTCATCCTCATATTGCACTTCCAAGAGTGCTTTCGAACTGGCCAGATCTTGAATCACCTGTTCGGCTTGTTTAAGGATGTCATCGCGTGAAATTGTACGTTTTCTACGATCTAATCGCGGGGTCACACGTTCTTGTGAATCGGCCGAGGTTAGTTCGGGCGACATATCTAGTAAACGTTGCAAGGCACGATCTCTATCAAATGAGGTTACGTAGAATAGTAATTGCCGGGTTTCAAATGGGAACAAAAATGGACAAACGGAGGCGATTTGTTGAAGCCAACTTGGAAGATTGCCCGTCATAATTACTAAGGGATCTTGCAATTGCCTACTCGCCTTAGCGGCAATTTTACTGTTCAAAAAGTCGACTGCGGGCAATATCGGCCTATATTCGATGCTCGGATATAAATAGTTCCAGTACAAATTTAAAGCGTTTAAAATGCGCAGTAAACATAAAACTTCTAAGGATGCGTCTTGAATATCTACAGATTCAGGTAACTTAGTTTTCAAAAATGGGGTTATCGGCGATTGCTGTGGGGGAGTTACTCCCTCTGAAATAATAAACGTTTAATACTAAAGCGCAGGAGAGTAGTGATATTAACGCTACCGTTCCACAATTCGTCTTTACGACGCGACGTGCTCTTACTACTAGAACCTTTACCCTTCCTACTTGAATGACTCGAATTACTGCCGCTACTTGTTTTGTGTGTTATAGAGGCATCTTCTTTGATTGGTTTATAATAAATAGTATGTGTTTGCACCCATATGCCAGCATTTCCTGAAACAAAAATTATTGTGATGAAAACATTAAGTTCATTAAGTTGTATCCCCCGCCATTAAGATTAGCCAATATATTAATACCGTTATTTTGTACTAATTTTGTACTTATTTGTACCGCGCATACCAAATTATGTACCGCTACCTTTTAAACACAAGGACCAAATCTACATTGGGGTTGCAAATTAATGCTACGCCCCCAAGTATATAGATTCTTAAAATTTTGTGTGCTATAATTTTGTACTGATTTTGTACTAATTTGTACCGCGCATACCAAATTATGTACCGCTACCTTTTAAACACAAGGACCAAATCTACATTGGGGTTGCAAATTAATGCTACGCCCCCAAGTATATAGATTCTTAAAATTTTGTGTGCTATAATTTTGTACTGATTTTGTACTAATTTGTACCGTAAGCAAAAAAATCTGTACCATTACCCTTCAACCGCTACTATCAAATTAATTTTGGAGGTGTAACTTAACGGTACAACCCCGAATACAAAAATTCATACAAATTTTCTTGCCATAGTTTTGTACTCATTTTGTACTAATTTGTGCCGTAAGCAGCTAATTTTGTATCACTACTTTTTAATCGCTAGGACCAAATGTATAGATGTTGTGGTTGTGACAGACAGACAGACAGACAGATAGACAATTACAGAGATCATGCGTAACACGCGTTTTCCATGGACTATAAAGATGATGTATCTAATAGGTATTTACGAGGGTACTTAATTTCAGTGTAAATTGGTACAAAACTGTTTGTTATGTAGATTCACTTGTTACTTTGTATCTTCAGTACCTATCTACTCTTGATTTTCTCATAACGCTATAACACAACGACGTTGAGGTAACGCATATGTGCTCGATTTTCCATCGTCTGTCTGTTGTCTATCCGTTCCATCGAAATGTCGGCCCTTGGGCCACCTAGAGACTTCGGCTTTTCGCTTATTGATAGCTGCTATATATTGCCGTTTAGTCATCATTTACAGGTGTGTTGCGCTGCAACACCCACGAGTGGGTTTTGAAACATTTTTATTTATCTTTGAATTTTAAATATTGATCACAATACGCTATTTCATTTCAAATTGGCACTGCGAAAAGTGTAAACGGAATAAGGGGCGGCGACTTATGGGGGCAACGGAGCCAGTGCCCCCATGCAAGGTGATCTTAAGGGTACATTGCCCCAATGCAAATTATATTGCATATTTAAAACTCATATTCAGAATCATCGTCTTCTTAATCTAATATGGTATTGAGAAATTAGTGGTCAGAATATAGCAGCCAAAATGCCGAAACCGAATGAACGACCAGTGGCTCGTTTACCATAAAAAACGAATTTGCGAATGCGCTCACACATAGTAGCCGTTTTCCAACAGCTAAACTAAAATTCATCTTAGATCCCTCCCTTAGGACCATAAAGCTATTCTAAAGGAACAACATAAAACAATAAAAATTTGTCCCCACCTTTTGCAAAAGAATTTCACATCTTAACATTCACAAAATCATTTGAATTTATCGTTAGTCATGGTATAATAAAAACGGTATCGCAACGCGCATCGTGTCCCCTTTCCCCACGCCGTATGACGTCAATCACGATACAAACTCCGGCGCGCGTATAGAAATGCATA